TGCACGCTTAAGTAGTATATATAAACTGACTTGCCCTAATCATTTTCACATGGGCAATAAAAAAAATTAGAAGCCAACTCTATGAACAAGACACACAGAAGCCTGAACAAACCAGCACGCGACCAAAATAAATGGTGAAAACTGGTGGACACACTGTACACCTGAGGTGTGGAAAGATAAAGAAAGAATAAAAACATGTTCCAGCCTTGGCCCGGCCCCCATCCCGAACATGCACCAGATCATACAGGGAACAGAGACATTTAACAATGTCCTCAGCATTCCTGGGCCGTCTCAGCTCAGCTGCTTGAATGGACAGACGTGTCGTATTAGTGGAGGTTCATGGTTCGTACAGCAGCAAACTTGAGACTGCTTGTCTGTCTCATTCTAGGTCATACCCCTACAACAAAGCCAAACTGTGGAGTTTTAGCTTTGATGGTGGATCTAACAGAAAGATCAAATTGTTAAGAATACCGTGCTTTTATTTCAGGACATTGTTCAAGTGTTTTACTCAGATGTGAAAACCTGCACTTGTGTTCTATTCACAGACCTTCCCTTTGCTCTCCCTTGCCATGAAATAATCTTTTACAAAGAACTCCGTAAATCCCCTCTTAATCACTGTTCTCACATATTTATTTAAGCTACATTGGCACAGGAACTTTATTGATGAGTTTTGATTTTTACACACCAGCCAAGAGAATTGTTGCACTGAACATTCCTTTTCCATTGATAGAGAGTGCATTTCTGAGGATAAGAGTCAACTAATAATTACTATAGTCTTCTTTCTTTTGTGATGCTACCAACAGAGGTTCTGATTTTGCATTAAGCAGACCTTCTGAACACAGGATATTCTACATGAGGTTCTACTAGGATAATATAGGAAACAAAACATACCCTTTTAGTATATCTAAGTTGTCTTCACTTTCTGAAATAAAAGACTGCAAGGAATTCCTTTTTTCTTGATAGTCATGCATTACTTCAATCTAGAATGGAAATGGTACGTATTAGAGAGAACTCAAGAGATAGATATGCTTGAGCCAATACCAATCAGGTCAGTTTCTGAAATAAACACAAGAACCATCTGGGGAAGGTGTCCTGGATAAGATATGCTGAACCGCGGAACTTCCTTGCAGTATACGAGAGCTAAAATTAAAAATGGCATACTGCGTAAGGTCCTGACAAACTTTCTCCCAGAAATTCCTCGGCGAGGTTACTGTCTAAAAATATCGGTTACATGCTTTTTGGGAATGGGGTTGTCTTTTTTATTCTGTGTCTCTACAGTGGTGAGCACAAGAAGTTCCTGGCCCATGACTGGGTCTCTAGGTTCTATGATAATACAAATAATAATGCTCAATTTCATAGTCTACAAATAAATATGTAAGGGCATTATGAGAGAATTTCAGAGTCACAGTGGTGGCCTGATTGTGCTTAACTTTAAAGGGACTTGGACACATGCTTAAGCACTTTGCTGAATTGGGGCCTTAGTGGTGACTAATTTTGAATTTCCTATTTCATGAGTAATTTAGATAAATACAGGTAAATGATCAGGATATTGTAATACAATTGTACAACATTTATTAGGTGCCATATATGTGGAAAGGCCATAGGTAACTATAAGTTGTAAAGTAAATGAAAAATCAGATAAATTTCTAGCTACATAAATAGACTACATATTAAAGTAATAATTACATAGTAGCTAGAATTACAAGTGTCAAATGAAGTAAGAATTGCAACAGTATGTTGCATACTGGTAATACATACCTAACTTATTTATTTCAATATTATTTCTGCTATTAAGCAAAACAAGAAACTCCATTCGTTTATTTCCCTCCCTCTCTCTTTTATAATATTAGCTTTCTGGTAAGGACACAAGCAACAGGCTTCAAACCTTCAAATGTTAAATTATTTAAAAATCCAAATCCTTGACAGGCGTGCTTTATGCATCCTTCTTGGATAAAGCCAATTGCAGAATTAAAAAGAAAGATCCAAATTACATTAGTTTTTCCAACTCTTAAGAGAGTCTCCACTATTGATATTGGGGAGGGGGAGGAGTTAGAATTTTGTTTCTAGTCTTCAAAGCATTGAAGATTCCTGAAGGAAGGATTATTTCCTTAATTGATGTCATTGTTATACCAGGCCTAAAACAGGAAATCGATAAAGAAAAGTGATTTTGGCCCCAGTCCAGGAAAACTCTTTGGCATGTACTTAACTTTTAAGTATGAATTGTCCCAATGAAGTCAATCAGGGTGTGAGTAAAAAGGATGCAAGACATCTCACCCAAAAAACCCAGAATCTAAGTTCTATCAATCCCTGGGAAAATATGATTTCAGATCTTGCCATGTAAAACCCATTCACGGTTCACTAACAATTTTTACCTTACGAGCATTGTGAGATTTTCTTGACGTTTTCTTCCCAGGGAGAGAGATGTCAAATGAAAACTTTAAACTGGAATTAAAATCCATGCCTTAGATAGAAAAATGCACAATTACACAATGTATAACTAACCAAGGAAGCATTGCAGGAAGAGATTAAAAAATTAGATCACCTGCATAAGCAAAAATGGTCCAGAGAGTGTATAATCAGTTAATTAAAGCTAAAGGCAAACTGAATACACTCCTAATTGAAAAAAAAATACCTTAGACATATCAAACAATTTTGTTATGAAAAGAGGAATAAAAGCAATAGATTATTAGGACATAAAATAAAAGCTCATTGGGTACAAAGAAACATCTCTCCAGGTAGGGGATACTGTAACTCAAACGAACAAAATCAGTGAAGCCTCTTCAAATTATAAGGATCTATACCTCTCTAATAACCTGTCTGAAGAAATACCACCTCCTGTGATTATATTACAAAAGCCCTATTTACAACAATAGGGCCTGAGGGTCATCTGCTGTAAGTTGTCTCCATTGTCTCTAATGCAGCTATGTTGATTCACACCAGCTGTAGCACTGACCCACAATATTCGTTTATAACCAAGATTCAGACAACTTTGTCTGAAGAGATAAGTTTGAAGATGAATAACATGAAGGATGCCAGACAGTTGTCCTGCTGAGTCTTACAAAATCTTTAAAAAGAGATTCCTGGCTCCATCAATTGACACAACTGGTACTTAAATCAAACAGGGCCTGTTCCTTTGATACGAGCAGAGTTAATGGACAGCTCCAGACTCTATTATGCTGGTCATCCTCAAACGTGGGGAAAATCTTTCATGATGTGATGCTTATAGACCTATAATGTTTTTAAACCACAAGGATAAATGGCTGGTTACGGTACTGCTATTTTTTCTTGATTACTAAAAAAAATACACCAAGTCTTTCCATTTACTTCCATAGGCTTTGTGAGATATATGTTAGACATGCTTTTAAACTCCCATTAACTTCAGTGGAGCCAGGATTTCACCCTTTGTGTTTTAGCATCATTAAAGCATTTGATAGGGTTGAATGGAGATTCCTTGAAATGGCAATAGAAAAAACTGGAATTGAACCACATTTGGAAGAATTGAGGGCCTGTGGGCTATTTATGTCATCAGAAGAATGTTCAAATGGAAGCAGATGAGAGACACACACAGGAACCCAGCGAGTTTACTTTCATTTATATTATCCCACAACAGAAATACTTGCATCTAAAGTAAGGAATATCAGAGCAATTAAAAGTGACTAAGGACCAACTCTCCCCATCTCACTGGCAAGAAGACATAGGAGGAGGGGATTTGAAACAGCATCTGTGGTGGAAGGGACTTAGGAGCAGTGGATTTTTGAAGTTGTGTTGCCTCCCAGCCCTTGGGGTCCTCTGCAGACAGTAACAGCATTCTCTTCTGCAATGAGATATGAGCTGGGCTAATGGATAACTCCAGACCCTACTGCCATCCCATTTCCCCCTTGCAGCAAGAGCTGCATTACTACAGGCTGGATCCCACCAAGCCTGCGGAGTAGCAGCCACAGAAGGTATTGAAACTCTGAGCTGCATTACCTACTGCCCACATTCTGAGCAAAATAGATAAAAGGAGAGTGCCACAGAAAGCTACATCTCTGCCCCACCCATCCTGCTGGCCATCCTGCCCTCAAGCTCTCTCAGAGTGGGGCACAGTGCTACCAAGGCTTCTACTACTAAAGTCAATCTAAAATGATGGAGCTTTTGTCTCAGAGGAACGGAATCATTTTCTATCTCCTCTATCACCAGTATGACAGGAAGCAGAGTCTTGTGGTCACGGGAGATATGGACTCCATTCCTGACTCTCTGTCACTGGGGGAGACACTAAAACCTCTCTGGCTATGTCTACATCACATTTTGGAGCGAGCGGAAGCCAACCTCCCAGCCTGGGTTGACAGACTTGGTAAGCTCTAAAAAAAGGCGTCTAGACAGCTCTGAAACCTAGGGCAGGGGGTGGGTTTCACAGCCTGAGCTCCAGCCAAAGTCTCAGCTTGAAAGCACTGTCCACACAGCTCTTTTTAGAGCACAAGCGTGAGCCCTGCCAGCTTAGTCTGTTGACCCAGGCTGCAAGCACGCTCCCGCTCGCTCCAAAAACACAGTGTGGACATACCCTCTGTGCCTCCTTTCCCGAAAACAAAATGAGGAAGATAATACTACCCTTTTCCCCCACCCTTTGGCCATTTAGATTGGAAGCTGTTTGGGACAAGGCCTCTCTTAACTATGACAAGTTTCAGAGTAACAGCCGTGTTAGTCTGTATCCGCAAAAAAGAAGAACAGGAGTACTTGTGGCACCTTAGAGACTAACAAATTTATTAGAGCATAAGCTTTCGTCCCCTAACGCCCCT